TTCAGCAAGCGGACCTGACCTAGGGAGGATTTTATACTGGGTTCATTTTAAGGAATTTGGAAGACACAACTTTAAAATTCGGTTTAATTCGGTTTTACAGGGGGGGATTGTATATATGCTTTTGTTTTAAATATGTTGTGCGCCGCCCTGAGTCCCGCTGGGAGAAGGGCGGCATATAAATTAAATTAAATAAATAAATTAAATAAATAAATAAATAAATAAGGTCTCCTGCTCAAGCAGGGGGTTGGACTAGAAGACTTCAAGGTCTCTTCAGGAAACACTAGACCATTTCAGACAAATGGTTGTCCAGTCTCTTCTTAAAAACCTCCAGCGTTAGAGCACTCACAACTTCTGGGGGCAAGCAGTTCCACTGGTTACTTGTCCTCACTGTCAGGAAGTTTCTCCTTAATTCCAGGTTGCTTCTCTCCTTGATTAGTTCCGGCCTGTTGTTTCTTGTCCTGATTCTGGGGCTTTGGAGAAGAGGTGGACCCCTTCCTCTCTGTGACACCCCTCAAGTATTGGAAGATTGCTGTCAAGTCACTCCTAGATTTGTCATTCCGGATGGACACCCTGGATGTGTCCATGAAGTCAAGCAGAAGCAGAATTTGATTGGAAAAACGTTTTACTCTTCATTCATGGTGGGAACCTTTGCTAGTATATCACCCAAAATGTGATGTGATTCACCAAATCATCCCCTTTCATTTTATTTGCACAACATGCTCACCAAAACTCTCCATCATCCTCCACGGTCATCCCTAGTTTCTCTCGTTCACCGCTGCTGACTTTCTGCCATTCCTCCGAGCTGGAGAAAGCAAAATAAGATTTGCAATGGGGTTTACACAGAGGACCTTCAGGGACAGGTTATTAATTCTACATTTTGGGAACCAGCCTTTGTATTTAGTCCTCGACTTACAGCCATTTGTTTGGCAACTGTTCAAAGTTAACAACGGCGATGAAAAAAGTCACTTCTGACCGTTCCTCACATTTACGACCATTGCAGCATCCCCAAGATGATAATAATAATAATCAAGGGATCAAAATTCAGGCACTTAGCATCTGGAATGTATTTATGACAGCTGCAGCATCCCAAGATCATAAGGTCGCCATTCGTGATCATGATTCACTTAGCAACTGAAGTGGTTCAGTCCCGTAAGGGAGATAGGGCGGTATATAAATTTAATAACTAACTAACTAACTAACTAACTAACTAACTAACTAACTAACTAACTAACTAACTAACTAACTAACTAACTAACTAACTAACTAACTAACTAACTAACAACCGGTATAAGAAAAGTTGTAAGGGACTCACATTGACAATGGTTGCAATACAATTGTGGCTACATGGTTGTGATTTGCAATCTTCTCAATTGTCTTCTAACAAGCAAAATCAATTGGGGAAGCCCGATTGGTTTAATGATCATGTGATTCACTTAGCATCATGGCAAAAAGGTGACTTTGGGCCAACTATCAGGAGACGGTGAGTTCTACTCCCGCCTGAGGCATGAAAGCCAGCTGGGTGATTTTGGGCCAATCACCAGGAGACGGTGAGTTCTAGTCTCGCCTTAGGCATGAAAGCCAGCTGGGTGACTTTGGGCCAATCACCAGGAGACGGTGAGTTCTAGTCCCGCCTTAGGCATGAAATCCAGCCGGGTGACTTTGGGCCAATCACCAGGAGACGGTGAGTTCTAGTCCCGCCTTAGGCATGAAAGCCAGCTGGGTGACTTTGGGCCAATCACCAGGAGACGGTGAGTTCTAGTCTCGCCTTAG